CGGCCTTAGTCACTAACAAGACTACGAGATCGCGCCACTCATCCTACACTCATCTCTATTCATACTTGGCTTAAAATACCTACTTTGTATGGTCACCATTCCATTGAAAAAGTATTAAAAAGTAAACAAACAATACTAAAGGTAGTTTTATCAAATACAAGGTTTTTTATTTCTTAAACAGTTCTCAGGTGATTAAGGGTTTCGTGAAAAAGTAAATAGGTTTTCAGGATGAGCTCATCACTCTGATACGCTTCATGTTTCAACTCTGTCCGTAATAGAGTTTCACTCACTTAGATGGGGATACTTTTTCTCCTACAGCTGGTCATTACTTTTAGTTTACAGCTACTGAAATTTATTTTTACTTGAAGCAATTCAAAGTAAAGGCCCTATTATCATAATCACGGTTTTTTTTATTTTGTTAGATATTTCAATCTCCATATAAAGTTCAAAGCAACATTCCTGGCAATCCTGTGACATGAAATATTCAATTCTTTCAAACATTTCGACGCAACCTGGAATGGATTTGTCTTTGCATAATCTCTTGGATATCTTTTGAATACGGCACCTAAATCTCACGCATGTACAAACGCAAGGGTTGCATATGCTCTTTTGTTAGATGGATAAGACTTTATTTTAGGTGTACAATTTTTAAATTTTTTTTTTAGATGTGTATATTTACAGTGGACATTTTTAATTGGTTTCTTGTCAATCAGTTTCCATTTAAATATGAGGGGAACATTGGCATAAAGTTGTTAAGTCCACAAACTTAAACTCATTATAAAGAAGGAGTCGTTGAAAATAGTTAGATTAAACAGTTTAACAGTTTCAAACTGTTAATAAAAACAACACTTGTTTCAAAATTGTTTTTCTGAAATATTGTCGATGGTAAAATGTGAAGCAATAATTAATTGAGGGTGTTGCAATACGCACCGTGTCTAGATATATTTAAAGGGAAATAATTTGGTGCATCAAGATATTGTAGGGTGGAAAATATGAACACAAATCCTTACAAGTGATAATCTCAGCAGAGCAGACTTATCTTGTCTGCCCCAAGCACAGAATGTTCTAACCAAAGTATTTGCTAACTACCTTCAAATTACAATCAATCAGAAAAAAACTCGCTTTTATAATTTGAATGCAAGTCACAAATGCTACTAGGGTGTTTCTTTTATTAGTTCGATACAATTATTTTAGTTATGCAACTCTATATAATGTTTACCAAACTGAAAGATCCAAAGACCTCTTTGAAATTACCTATTGAAATTACAATAAAAACTAACTCTTGCAAAGTAAACATTCCATTTCCTACATATGTAGTTAAGTTTTAAACAGGCTAAGGCCTGTTTAAAACTTATTGTATTGGAAGTTTTTGCTGTTGGAATAAAAATTAATGGTACAGTATATTTCATCACTAGGGCCTAAACTGACTCGAAAATTACAACTGAGTTGACAAAGCTGATTTTTACTCCCTAAAGAGTAAAAATACTACTGAACAACTACGAGTATTTTCATCATATTGTGGATATAATCTTCTAATCGTATAAAATTAGACCAAAAAAATTTAGGTTACAAAAAATCGTTATCAGTGTTTAGATTACTGTTGTTTACAAACATACTGTAACTTTAAATACTGTATTGTGTGGTTAAAAGCATTTCCATTATGCACTGACAACATTTTGAGGTTAGCGAACAGAAAAAAATTACCTGAAAACTATGATTTTGCTGACGATTTAAGAGAACTAAAAACGGCTGCTTGCCGGATAGTACGATGTAATAGTGTACGCAACGATTGCGTTAAGTTGGTCTTAACGACACGAGTAGACAATTTTTTTTTAAACTTCTACGAGTGTCGTAAAGACTATTAACGCGAGTTGCGTACACTACTTTACCTACGACAGTTTTTTAATTACTAACAATCTGGTTTTTAGTTACTAACAATCACTACTCATAACTTCTTAAAGAGGTTATGTTTTCGTTTATTATCAGTGGCACTGAAAGTGATGCAACGACTCATTGTATAATCAGCTGATTTCATGTAATAACGTGCTTGTAAAACTTCGTTAAATAATAAGTTACCTTTTTCAGGGAATAGGTTCTGCTAACAGCATTCTTACCATAAATACTGTATCAGGTACAATTTAGGGAAATAATGCATTTGTTTTTTTTTACAACTGAATGATTATAGTGAAAGAGTTAATTTACAGTTAGATCTCAGCATCGAATATTATAGAATATTATAACCAGTTTGTGCTCTCATTTCCATCTCGTCAACTTCACTTTCACTAAATGACATTTTTTAAACAGTTCTACCTTCCTTTAACCACCAACTTAGGTTAAGAATACGCGAGTATCAACAGGATCAAGTAAGATCAACAATTAAAATTGTCAACTGATCAGCTGATCAGCTGATTAGTTGACGTTCGAAGCATTACAATTTTTATTCTTTTCTCCGTTACCTGTGTTGATATGAGAAAAACTATGCTGATATGAAATGAAACTATACTGAAATGAAAGTAAACAGCTTTTAAGTGAAACTTTTCAATTCTAATAACTGAACTGAAATGGCTACTTTAAAAAACGGTCGTAGGTAAAATAATTTAATTCAAGGGTTAGGGCGTGCATCTTTTTAATTTAATTGAGGACTTCGACTGAATAAAAAGATACTACATTTACACGGTGGAATTTCTCTTTCGCCTAAGATGATGAATGAACAGAAAACCTGTTATAAAACATTACTTGGTGTAAGAACTAACCTGAGTGGAATAGAACAAAAGAGTTTAATGAGTAACAACAAAGTTGATTTGTTTTTATCTTCAACTGTTAAACATGATAATCTTGTTATTGGCCTGTGGGTCAAAGGGGCCTACCAAATAATTGCATTAAACAATTCCACAAAGAGTTGAGATCTAATAGTGTATAGAATGGTTGGTTGTGGGTTAGAAATGAATTTTTATTAAATGAGAGCATAATAATTGTATCAGCGAGTTACTCAACGAATTACATTTTTTAGGATTGATGATCGTGCCACTAATACTTGTTCTTAAAGGAGTTGTATAGAATAGTTTGACAGTATTAGACAGAAAAAACATCACCCATATGTTCGGTAACCGACAAAATTAAACTACTATTTAATTATTTTAATACACAGAGTGCACAAAAATCTTTCCTACAACACCCCATAATTAGAAAAATAAGTTAATGCTAGTTGTACACATAGTTAAAATATTCAAACATGTTTATATATTTTTGAATACGAGTTGCGATAAGACTTGATGGGTTCCAAATCAAGAGCACTTGGGGCACGTGAGTAGATTTTAAATCGAGTCTTTGGCACAAAAGGTTGTTGGAATTCTTCCCTTGACTGGGTGTTTGTTCTACCCTCGCCTCCGAGCTTATTGCGACTTTGGCAGTCGTCTGATTGTAGAATCGCTGAATGAAAGTACAACTTCTGAAGAATTACTAAGTATCTTCAGGCCCCTTAGAAGGTTTTGACACATAATACATCTTTATAACTGCGTTGTAAGTAAATTATTTGGCAAAAGATTTTATATGTAGGCCCTATTAATACCCGTTTTGTATGGCCTTAGGTTTATTTTTAGACACAAAAAACTGCTGGAAAATGTATGTTATCTTTTTAACTAAACTATTGCTATGGTATATTTTATAATATGGCGTTTCTATTTTTACTTTCTCCCCCTATACATAGTACATGGCAAAAGTATTGTTTTCTTTCAAATGTTCGAGGTGTTTTTTTTCAAAAATTATTTTTAATGGTGGTTTTTCCATGAAAACCCATAAAATAACAGGAAAATTGGATTTTCACAAAAACAGCCAAAACTATTTTGGTAAGACTTTTTTTGGTATGTTATAGCCCTTTAAATTCAGAACAAAATGGTACAAATCCCATTTCTGTTAAAATTACGGTTCCACAGTTATTGTAATTTATGTTATTTTCGCATATAGACGAAAATTGGATTTAAAAAAAGGCTGGTTTTGATTAGAATTAGTATGTTATGGTTCAAAAATGATTGTAAATTCTGTTATTTTCTCATTAAAACCCATGAAAACGGAAAAATTGACTTTTTTAAAAGAAACCGATTCTGATTGAAATTCCTATGTTATGATCCTTTTAATTCTAAACAGAATAGTGCAACCCCCCTTTCCTGCAAAAATTACGGTTCCAAAGTTGGTGCAGCTTTCATGATTTTACCTATTAATTATCATAGTTACTCTCATCGCTTACCCATTATAAAGGTTGTTGACAAGCTAATGGGAGAAAGTGTGTGTCAGAGTGCTGATGCCGTTTATTTAGAGTGTGACTATCCAAACACCACACAGTTTAAAATTAAAACCAATAAATCACTAGCACTAGTGTATTGTGTTTTGTATCGAAAATGTATTATAAATGGGCGGAAATTAAACTGTGTGGCTTTTCATTGAAAACTCCCCCAGTAAAAAGACAATTATCCTGCGACCTATCTACGTTTATTTACTTGGTAGGTAAGCCCAAAATTTCGTTTTCATTAGGTTGCCAATTCGATTTTGAAAAAAAATGTAAGACCCTGATGGTTCAAAACTGGGCTCACCTATCCATGATGATTTGCCTTCTAATAAATTATCCTGGCTAAGGAATTGCTGGGATTAGCCAGAAAGAGAAATTTGCAAATCATGTCTTAATCGATTGTGGACCCCAGACTCCCTACCACTAAGTCTCGGTGACGTTACATAAAATATTGCCATTGGTGATTGACTGGGTTCTAACCTCGGTCTCTAAGAAAAAACTCCCTTGCTATAATATCGAGACAAGCCGTCCCTCAAGTATTATCTCTTATAACAGTCAACAATACACATTCGACCTTCACCGTAATCTTGCATGGCAGTCTTCGGTCTTCAGTCTTCCGTCCTCGTCCACACAATGTCCCTTGTGTCGGTTAGTGTTGTGTTCTTTTACTCGTGTTTTTGTGATTGTGCTGCATTGCCTAGGTCTGGAGTTAGAACCAATCATCTCATGTCTGCACAGTTTTGTTAAATTGTTATTGGGCGACCCTTTTGCTTATCCAATGAGTTTTCTGGTCAAATGCATAATCTTATTTTGCCATGGGGTAATTTAGTGGGTTCTTAATTTTTCTCTTTGCTTTAGTTTATTTTCGAATTGAGCCATTTGAGTACAAACTTAAGTGACACCTTATAACTTAATCTTCACATTTTTTCCGTTGAGTGTATTACTTAAACGTTGGCTATTTTCATATTCAAATTATAATATTAAAAATGTATTCAGCACAGAATCCACTTGTTTTTTATTTATTGTTTAGAAGAGTCAATTATTTCTCAAACTATTAGTAAAACGTAAATTGTTATTGGTTGGATGTAACTGAGGCAGTTAAATAAGTTACTGTGTACAGTACACCTTGCGTATCTGAAACAATGCTAATTTTACCGTTTCCTGTTGAGATAAACTAATTAAGTTTTACACAATGCTTACGTGATTATGATATACAATTCTTTGTTTTTCAACGTATTAAAATGTTTTAAGCATTTTCATTTCCAAAATAATGATTTCGAGATATTATTCGAATGGGTAAATGATATAGGAGTGGATTAGATTGCAAACATCATAATGATCAGATTAAGGCTAAATGTGTCTGAATGTTGAGAAACATACTTCAAATTTGTTCAAACAGTATAACATTTAAAACATTCTATTTAAAATTGGAAATGGAATATATATTTCACTTATAAAAGGGCCATTAAATGGATTCTTTGTTTGTTTGAACAAATTTCTAGTAATAGAAAATTTGTCAACATTCAGGCGTGTGTCTGACGATGCAAATTCGCATAAAGCATTGTACAGTATTAATATATTTTGAAAGCGAGCATTAAAAAAAAAATATATGAAACATATTAAATAACATCCAAGTGTTGTGGAATTATTTCTTTCCCAGTTAATATTTCTGCACTTGAAGCAACTGTGTGAACGATTTGTTTAGTTACTAGGTATTAGATTGTACGTAAAATTACAGTATCAAAGTAAGCAAAAATCTTTGATAGAACAAGACATTCCATTCTCACTTTAAATGTTTTTTTTCTCATTAAATTACAGTAATTATATTTAGCCACCGACAGAGTACGCTAGTCTGAACTACTGGTTTCTGTTGAATACGCCTACTTGTTAATCACCCCAAACTGGGAAAGACGTTTAATAGTAAACTATGACGTCTTATTATAACTCTCTTGGTATTAAGGGAGAAAATAGAACTCCTGAACATTCTGAGAGTGGCTCATTCAACTGTTCTGTAGGACCTGACCCATGTAAATGAAATGTCTAGTAATGATTTATAGCCTTGACTATTTGCAACTATGCACTACTTCATCCATTACTTCCACAGCTCCGACCCAGCGTTTCCTCGTATCCTGGTGGCAAGTCCTGTGAGGGCGTGTCCTGGGGGGATGATGAGAGACCCAGGGGGTGACTGTCGTGCTGTGGTTGGGGGAGAGGACGACGAAATATGGACAGTGAGTCCGGGAGTGACAGGGGGAAACGGAGAAATACAGGGAGGAACCTATACGTCTGGGCCGACACAAGGTGAACAATACATGAATGGTCAGCAGTATGGCAGTAACAGCCTCTCAAGTCAGCAGAATGGCAACAATAGGCCTTATATCAGCAGCCAATACAGCAACAATAGACCTTATATCAACCAGCAGTATGTCAACAGCAGACTTTTCAGTAGATTTAGGCCTAGCAGCATCTCAAGCAACACTGTCAATCGAACGTCTACAAGGCAAAGACGTCTCAGCCGCTACAAAGCTCTTCCGCTACACAAACGATCCCGATCAAAAGACGTTGATGAAATGAAATCAAGGTATTTTGATTTTGGAATATACGCACCTCAAGTTTAGTGAATTTCATGCCGTCAAGCACATTCTTTACATTTCACTTTGTATTTTTGTAATACTCGAAAAACTATAATAACTTCTTCAGTAACCGCTATGGTGAGAAGCATCCAGTTTTCAGTGCAAAATGCCAATTTTGGTTTTCTTTCAGTTTGAAAAATTGTTTTTGGGACAAGTCCTAAGGCAAGGATGAGTTCAAGTAGTCCAACACAACACAATACCTATATTTAATATTTTTACTGTGAATTTGTATGTTTACGTGTGAATCATTGTCATGGTAGAAAGGAAAACCTTTTAATAACGTCATACAGAAAGTAGCTATTTTCGATGACAGTTCAAAGAAAATAATCGTTTCCCTAGCTTTAATTTAGAGCGAGGCAAAAATGATCAGCAAATTTTTCCTTGTTCCTAATTTACTTTCCCGTTCTCTCAATCTGTTTTTCCATTTGCCCACTGCGCACTACAGTTTCTTGTCGTGTTTCTATCTATTTTTCCCAAACTCTATTTTCACTAAGTTTTACCGGCTAAATTTGGACGTTGTGCCAACGGTAAACAATATAACCCTCTCAACTTCGGATTCAATTGAGTAATTAATTGCAAATAAAAAAACACAAACGTTAGTTACTTATTACACAGGATCTGAAGTAAATTATTTTCAAAAGTAAACCTCTACAATGCAATTTACTCTTCCAAATTAATTAACTCTCGTCTAAATGCCGTAGTATTATATCCGCCTGAATTATCAATTATCAATTAGTTGAAATCGGGATGCCACATGTGTGCGTATTTTAACCCAAATATGAGTGTTGAGATTATCTGTGTAGCTTTGTTACTGGCTAAGATAAGCTGGATGATGAAGGACAGCTGGGTCCAGTTTCGAACCATCAAAAAGCTAAACTTTCTCAGGATCGAACCGGTGACCTTCAGATTGTTAGCGAGCACTTTCCATTCAGTTACCGAATATAGCGAATATCGAATACGATTAAATTAAAAACACATTGTTTCCAATATTTTCTTTTAACTCTGAAAAAATACTGCCGTAGTTGTTGGGGAATGATTTGTTCAAGGTAATTTGAACACCTGTGCTAGGCTATTAACCCTTCAACAAACTTATTTTGTATACAATTTTGATTGAGAGTTTTCATTTTCACGAATAAATGAAAATCATATTTACATTGTGATTTCTCGAATAACCCAAGGATCCGCATTTCTTGCCACTTTAGCCTACTATCTTATTCAAGGATGCGTAATGACTCTTTAAGTGCAGGTCCGAGGAAGAATCACAGCGCGTGTACAACTTGGCATTATCTCGCACTGGACAATAAGGTCTGACGCTGCGGGATTTCCACTCTCAAGTCATCTTTAATAAAATTAGAATATCCTGTTTTATTCAGTCTCACCATGAAGACGAGTGCGTTGTTGCTTCTGGTAATCGCGGTCTTCTCTGTGATAGACGGAACCAAGTATAAAGGGTATGGAGGAGGTTATGGGGGCTATGGGGGTCATGGAGGTGGTTGTTGTGGAGGAGGTCATGGTGGATATGTAGGTTACGCTGTCGTTCCCATATCCTATGGTTACGGGGGTCATGGCCATGGAGGTTACGGTGGAGGTCACAAGAAGGGCTATGGGAAGAAGTGGGGTTAACAGGAATGGTGAGTAAATAAAGCGTAACTCATTTTATTTCTAAAAAATAATAATTTTCATACTACATGTATATTTTGTCAAATACATGTTGAGGAAAAAGTCTTTCTTCATTGAAATCACGGTGTGAGGACAACTGCATTTCTGTTGGCCATTTTATCAAATTACATTCAATATCGTGGCATAACCTTTTTCCCACATCAACGAATCAGAGAGCTCCAATCCAACTATTGTTATGCCAGCTGCAAGTTATCTCTCCCCGTGTTATTATAAACTTGTTATTATTTGTTCGTAAGTTAAGTTGCTAACCATACTTTTTCTGCCAATAACACAATTCAAAAAGGATTTACCCAAAATTCCTTTCTTTCATTGTTATTTATATCCATTAGTATAATGATATGAACAGATCTGATGTTTTGCAGCCCAAAAATCAATTTTACGCCTACGACCAATTCCACATACAAGTACAAATATTCCCGCCGCAGCAAACCTGCAGACTAAGCTAATTTCAATTCGTCTGGATTTTAACCAAAATATTTCCATAAACAAGTGATATTTATTCCCCATTGCCCATTGTTGCCATTGCCATTGTTAAGTGATATTTTTAGAATTAAAGAATACTTAGGTTTCCTGCTGTGAGGAAGAGACACATTTTTTATGTTGGTAGTATGGGATGGAATGGATAATTTTGCCAAATTTGATTAATATAATATGTACTATGAAATGAATAACATTGGTTATTTTAAATGTAGCCATGCTACCTTTTTCCTAGCTCGAGATATTTCGTGGGGACCGATTCGCTTACGGAATTAAATATATAGATTTCTTATCAAATGTTTTGTTAGTCGAAAGCTGAGTCGGTAGCACCACGATTTCGGGGCGAAGCAGCGGTGTCGTGGGTTCGGTTCCTAGTACCTGTTACGACTTTTTATGAGGACAGTTGTAATGTACCAGCGCACCCCTAGCTGGATATGTTCCACGCACATATACGTGTAATCTATGTGGACGGGCAAATGCAAGGTTAAAAGAGGCCACCAACCTCATTATAAAAAAATCAATTAAATCACATTTGACAACGAAGTCGATAGAAGTCTGAAAAAACACACAATAACAACTTAAAATGAAAATGATTTGCTTGTACCACAGGCACCAGGACACCATTTCGTAGCTATAGTTAATTGACTACGTTGATTGTCATTGCCATTACATTCAAATTCTAGGTTCTATATGATGAACGCATTAATCCTAAAGAATAGCGTGATTATCTTATAGGTAAGTGAATGTGACTCATTGCCACACAAGAGCCTTTAGCTGGAGTTTATTTTGGAGGTAGGCCCGCGGCCCGTATAGGCCTACAAACATCTAATGTTGTTAACTGCAAATCAAAGCTATTTACCAGACTACAGTCTCGGAACATGATCACACAACCTTGATGGTTTGAGTAATTTGACAAACATATAACAGAACACAATGAGAATGTTGTTATTGTTACTGACACACTGACTAGTTCACTGATAAGAGCTATTGTCTGTGGAACTGTGAAAGGTGAAAGTTATAACATCAAGGCTTGCTTGGCAAACGCTAGTGACTACCATTTTGTTTTTCTTCAAACAATAATGGTCAATTCATTAGCATCTTCATGTTTATAAGCTGAGAAATCATAATTATATACTTCTGTTGAATCAGTATAATCCTACACGACATCACAACTATTAGATTAGCTGGGAATGCTAATGCTACTGAGGCGTATTTTAACTCAAAATATGAAATTTAAGATGAGTATTGGATTGTAGTGAAAATCACAATGTAAGTTTATTACTGACTATGAGCTGTGGACCCATTCTAAGGACGGGAATCGAGAAGTCAATTAAAACTAAATTTAATTTATGTTAACAGCTATTTAACATGCATATTGGCAAATCCTAGCAGTTTTAATGGGGAAATCCATTTTAAGCAAATGTCACGAGACCACCTATTTGTTTAATCCGATTATAGGCCACTGACACCTTAAGAGGATTCTGGCATCCCAATATCTTCTATCCCCTGCCTCATCTAACGTAGATCCCAGTAAGAAGATCTTTCATTACTTGATTTTGCCATGTCATTCTTGGTCTTCCAAGAGGTCGTTTACCTTGTGGTACTGCTTGGAATACACTTTTAAAAGTTATTTATCTTCTCTCCATCCCACATAGCCAACCGAGCCTTTTACTTTTGGAAACACCCTCAAATCTGGGTGTTTATCAATTTTTCTGAGCTCTATGTTCTTGTAAGACTAGATTACTTACGTCAATAGCTCATTGAATTTCACTTCATGTTTCAGTACATGTTTCGACACATTGTCATCATCAGCTGAGTACTAACTAGTGAAGTTTTTATTCACCATATGGTTTCGTCATTGTTCAATTAAATAAACACGTAACACGTAACACGAATACAACACGACACGGAACACATACATTTACAACACGTAAAGCTTTATGTTCCGTGTCGTGTTGTATTCGTGTTACGTGTTTATTTAATTCAACAATGACAAAACCATATGGTGAATAAAAACTTCACTAGTTAGTACTCAGCTGATGATGACAATGTGTCGAAACATGAAGTGAAATTCACGATTCAATGAGCTATTGACGTAAGTAATCTAGTCTTACAATAATATCTACAGCTCAGGGGCTTGACAATGAATAAAAAAAAAAACTCTATATTCTTTCATATCTCAACCTCTGTTATCTTGAACTGGTCCGTATATTGTCTCTACACTCTAATCTCAAAGTTTCTGAACCATACAGTACTACTGGGATGGTTATGAATCAATTTTGGTTCCTACTCAGTTGTTTCATTAGTCAAGGCCACTTAAGAGAAATGGACTACGAATATACCGCACCTATTCTATCACTTAACTCTCACGGTGTACTCTAGTTGAGGTGTTTAGTCACTAAACTGTAGAAGTAGAACGTAGAACCATCATATCTTATCAATTCACTATCTGATGCAGGTTAGCCACCGGATGTGTAGGTTAGTCAGTTCCTGAATCAGTTGATCACAATTTTCAGATCAATTCTCATTTTCACTACGATCAACTAGTTTGTGATCCTGTGCAGTTGGACATTACAGTGGTTTAAAGTTTATATTGTAGTGAGTATTTAAGTTAGTAAATATAGACCCTAATATCGATATTATAAAATCAACTTAAAAGTGAACTCCACAAGTTGTTCTTGTAATTTTATCAGGAGTGAATATATATGTTTAAATTGATCTGTAAATTTTCATTTGAATATCATAAATATCTTTATTTTAATATAAGAGAAGTAGACTTAAGGAAAATATAAGATTTAGTTTACCGTACCACATCAAACATTAAAAATTCTGCTGCTCGTTTATACATTTGTTTTAATTTTTCTATTTAAATACTATGCATTCAGATTTCCATTTAACTCTTATCCACTATTAAGGAAACTTTTTATTCACTATCAATGTTCTAGCAAATTTATTTGATTCGCAAAGTATCACTGGACAAGTACCTATTTGTTCTAAATTTCAATAATATTGACAAACCCATTTTTTACTCCCACTATAGTTTATGTTTTTACTAAAAATCATCCAAAAAGTTAATCATTTTATATGCTACCAATCTATTATTTTAGACCAATAAACTTATGTTTCTTTAATAAGCAAGGTATTTGTTAAAATTGAACAAAATTTTTTTCCAGCTTAAGCAAAGTAGTCGTTTTGTTTACATCTTATTTATAGATTGAAATCCTACTATTTAAATTATTTTATTTTTATTTTGGAGTGTTTTGTAATTAATATTTTCAATAATGGTATAACAATTAATAACTCTGAAAAAAAATACAAGAAATACTTTTTACATAACCTGGCTTAATACATCTAAAAATGTATAAGAAGATTAACTTGAAACTTGTTGACTTGAATAGGGATCAACTTAAATAAAATAGAGATCGAAAAAAAGCATAGGTGAGGTTTTTTAGGTATAAAGAGTGTCCTGTAGGTAAGTACACAAATTTATGAATAGGTGTAATGGGTCAAAATAAAATGAAAATAAAGAATATTTTTTCAAAAAACTTCTCATTATGTAGCAAGAAATATTTAGCATTTCAAATTATCCATCAAATACCACCAAGTTCAAATAAATCAAATGATAATAAAAATAGCTAAGAAATCACAATTTTTAAACGTAAAAGGAGGTGCACCCTAACAGTCTAGACTGTTTTTTTTCTCAGCTATTTATTTATTATTGGATCTTTGAACTTAGTGTTGCCATATTTTAGTAATTAAAGTTATAAAAGTAAAATGGCTGCCTTTTTAACCAAATAATATTTTTTATGGTTATTTTCCATAAAAGTTTATGGCTCCTAAACATTGTAAACCAAATTTCATAAAGATTTCTTAAATAGTTTTAGGATATGAATTTAAAATCCAAAAAACCTAAAATGGCGGATATTTTGCTAACGAGGTGTTTTTGCAAAAATGTTTATTCTCAATTTTCATGTTATTTCGTATACCCATTTAACATACCCCTCATTTTTCGAACTTGCTTATGGGACACCCTGTATGATATATGTAGGGTGAATATTGTTTGTCTAGATTAGATTAATTTATTCCTATCAAAGTCAATGATTAAACTCATTCTTGAGTGTGTGGGGCTGACTCGGTAGACATTTTATTCCCATGTTAAAGCTGTAAATAGTTTTATGATAAAAATTAACGTTAAAGTTAATAAAGAAAGACAATGAGAGTGTGTGTTGATGTATACAGAGTGTCCCGTACGTAAACGACCAAACTCCGGGAAACGGGTAAAATTAAAGGGAAAAACTCCGGGAAACGGGTAAAATTAAAGGGAAAATCAAGAATGACGTATTTCCCAAAAACGCTTTGTTAACCAGAGATCCACCATATTTTTACACTAAAATAATCAAGTACAATATTTAAGTGTATCTTTGAATATTTTCAAACAATCTTTGTGGAACTTGCTTAGTATTTTCGTACAATAAAAAAAAATAAGTTGGTCCAATCCCTAATTTCAAAATAGAGTTCAATGTTTATTTCTTAAATTCTAAAAAAGGGGTAATTATTATGAAAATATGTCAAGAACATTTTTGTTTACCATTTTAAATGTTCAATGAAACAACACCAATTGAAAAAGATCCAATAACAAATAGCTCAAATATCATCTTCAGTTGAAAATAAGGCAAATTGAGGCACACTTTGTATAGCCTAGCCAGATGGATAACAAAGCGTTTTTTGGGGAAAATTACATTCTTGATTTTTATTTCATTTTGACCAATAGAACCATTTCCTGAAGTTTGACTGTTTACTTGGATGACGCCCTATATTACTAATTCTGTCGAATACGCCTGTTGACCAAGCCAAAAATAACAATTTATTGTCAACTACAGCATTTTTATGTCATACGAGTTTCATAGTAACAAAAGCTATTGGGGAAACTCTTTCTGGGAATAGCTTAATTAACAATGTAATGTAACACATTGGCAACAGCTATATACGGGATGTCTGTCTACTACTATTATACTGAGTCAAAAGTCAATAGTAGGATATCTGTTGACTTAAACCTCGCAATGTCCAACTCCAGGTCCAGCTATGATTGCCCGGCTAGTAGTGATTGTGTCCATGGTGGCTGTATGCTTGGTGTTAGGCTGGTCCTACAATGTATCAGCCAATCCTATCTATGTCCCCAGTAGAGACACTTGTCCCCCGGGATATAAAAGAGACTTTCTCAACAGATGTAGAGAGATCATACCTTCCTTTGACAACTGGAACTACAACTGACTCTAGCATCTTCATGTAAGTTGGTGGATTTGCTCAGATTTTGTTTGATTATTTTTGCATAAATCTTTGCCTAGGCTTTTTTTTAATTTTCAGGACGGTCCAAACCCTGGTATTTTGACAACCTTTTTGTTGGCTGGAATGATTATTTAACCTAAAAATGGCATCTGTGCTATAACCAATAGATGTACTGATATGTGTGTAATATTTCCCAACCTGTAGTACACAACCACTAGTTATGGTTAAACCTTGTTTTAGGTTAGAAAAATAAAAAATGATAAACATATTCTATCCTTAATTTTATGGGACCAAACCCTTGTTCATGCAATTTATAAAACAATTAGGAGATGTTAAGAAAAACAATGAACATTATGTCCTAATCTCGCCTTCTAAACTCATTAGTGGTTAATGATGGGGGTGTTGTGCTGCATCGGTCTGGTTTTTTTTTAAGAATTAATGTTTTTTTTAAAGGTTTTTAACAGTTGATTGTAACAGCCATTGTATTCTATTAGACTAGAGATTGTCCTCTATATACTCATTCACTAAATTTAGGCGGGTTTAAAAGAAGAAATCTATCCCCTTCACTAGATCCTACCTTTGAAAAATAGCTCAACAGCTGAGGTTTGCTTAAACACCAATCAGCTGCAACATACAATCAACTGCAAAAGAGTGATGGGTAACTTCCCTTCAAACCTCCTAAATTTTGTGAAATGACCATAGGTTACTCTCTCATCCCGATGATATAGGGCTAGTATGAATCATTATTTTACTAAATGGATGAATCAATAATACAGTGTCTACATAATGGCATTTTGTTTCAGGAGCTATCTCAACAATTAACACTTTGAAGAAGACCACTTTCCTCTACCAACTTCTCTTATGTTGAAAACTTCAGCAAGCATCACTTAATCATGCATTTAAATTGTTCACCAAATTATTTGTTTTCTGAAGACTTCTAAAGTAAATATTTCATCCAGTACAAATGTACTTGTGTATTAGTGTACCCTTTTTCTTAGTAATACCCTGTGTCCCAAATTAGGTGGGAAGGTGAGTTGGAATTTTATTTTTAAAGAGAGTATAAGTACACAAGTACACTTGTGTTCAAGTATCCATGTGCCACAATAAATTCTGTATATACATGAAAAACTCGTAAAACAAAATACTAACCTTAATGTTGATGGTGGATAACCATCAAAAAACGGTTACAAACGTTAATGTTTACATATATATAAATTTGAACGAATAATTGTGTTTTTGGCCTCTGGCGACATCAAAATGAAAAAGTAAATCGGTCCTGGTCTTACCATGCCACCTACGGTAATAGCTAATATAGGGAAATTCGCTAAAATTAACTAAAAGAGGCAGAGAACCACTTTAATTAATTGCTTTATTAAAATACAAAAAAAAATGTATCCAAGAGGTTACTTTTTTACAAATAATATAACTTTCCCCTTGTGAGCTTTATAAATTAAATTATATTCAAGCCCTCTGTGAAATGTTTAACGTGAATTTCTACTAAAAACTTTGATGATTTACAAACGCAATTGCTCTCATTTTTAATCCTATTGAACCAAAAGAAAACTTTGTTCTTCTCATTAAACTGTTCTGCTCCACTCAGCTTGTATGCCGACTGACCAATGTTTTAAAAGTTTTTGTTGATCTAACATCTTATTTAGGTAGGATTCAGCAATCTGATCTTTTTCTCTCTAATTCAAACTGAATGATTAAATTGAATAGGTAGGTTTGCTTTTCAACAAAAAACAAAATATTTTTGATTATGCAAGTTTTTACATTACATGGCAATACAATTACAAAAAAAATACTGGTTTCAGTAGAAATCTTCAGTAGAAAGTTTGTAACCTTGTAATGAATAATAAAATGAGATGTTAATAGTGCTTTAAAAAATCTTATATTAACTGTTCCCAAAATGTTACGTAAGGAAAATTGTAAGTTAATTCAGATTTCTAAAGATTCCAATTGACTGCCATATTTTACTGGGTTAAGATAGAGACCTCTAATTTGTGTTGTTAGTTTTCTTTTATCACGACCTTCAAAATGGGGGTTCTCTAACTAATCAGTCAACTTCCAGGACCTAACAATAAACATAACAACAATAAACCTTGTAAAATCCCAAATACAAGCAGCTCAATCCAACAAAAACCCCAGAAAGGAGAAGAATATAACCAAGACCAAAACCTAAATTTAATAACCACCTACCACCCTGGCCTACAATCTCTGAACCATCTTCTAAAATCAGCCTTCAAAATTCTACAATCTTTGAGCCTAACCAAGAATCTTCTCCAAAAACCTCCATCCGACAACCTCCAAATCTGAAAAACTTACTTGTCCCAAACTACCAGACACCTCAATACCCCCAACAGAAAAGCCTAACCCCGGCTCTTACCCTTGTAATGAGAAACGGTGCAAATCCTGCAACATTCACAAACCAGCAGAAACATTCTCCAGCTCTTTCCACAATAGACAGTACAAAAAAAGGACACCTCACCTGCAACTCAGTAAACATGATTTACCAATTAGAATGCACCCAATGCCCTGCCCAATACATTGGCCTCACAACAGAAACTTTACGAAAAAGGATGAATGGATACCGTCATGATGTTAAACCCAACAAAGAAAAACTCATAGAACAACATATTACAACCTCCAATTTGACATGACAGTTGCTACACCACAAAAGCTGTGAAATCCCTACCAAAGAACCAATGCAATAGCTCATGCTTAGAAGATGGGAAATGGCCTATCAATTTGTTACAAATTCACGAGCTCCACCCAACTTAAACATAAGATAAATCCAAATTCCTTCCAAAATATTCCTTGCCCACACAACTAACTACAGTAGTACAGTAAAATTAATGGTGTAAATAACTAAATATGTGTATATACAGTTTATAACTTTTAGCGTATTAAGTGTTGGCAAGACATTTAAAACAGTGTCACAACTGTAACTGCCATTCTACCTTCTACCTCTGAAGAAGCCCCTGAAAGGGACGAAATATCAGTTTAATGTGTACTTTTTATGTGTTTTGACCTCCTGGAACTCTTTATTCAGGTTAGTTAGTTGTGTATCCTTCTTTCTCCTTAAAAAAGTAAACAAATATTTATATTTTGGTAAAAGCTAATATAGATGATAATACAAACTGTTAAAGTAATTAGCTGATATCAAACAGCAGAGAACATGTAGTGCCAAAGGCATACAAGGGGAGTTGCCCTAAGAAGGATTATAACATGCAAGGTCAATGTTCATAATTCTCCAGGTCACTAAAACTCCTTTGGCATAACAAGTGTAGATTGGAACTATCAAAAAATAAACTTTGTTGGTTAAATGCTTCACTTTGATTGATTTGTTTTACTCAACGAACCAAAATAATATATTAAGAAAACACATTAAATCAAATCTTTCCCATGAATCAGACAATTTTTTTTACATCATACTACACAGAAATAGGTGCTTTTCCATCTGTATTGATTGGCTGGAAAGTTGCCCTTTGCCGTGCCTACACACAGAAAAGTAACGTAATGTACTTTTACGCCACACTACATTATTTTGACGAACTTCCCACGCAAGTATTTAGTCCAGAAAACAGCTGTTTGCCGCCAGCTTATTCAAATGGGGTTTCATTGCGTACTACTGTGCTGCAATGAGTTTTACCGGACACCAATCAGCTGATTGTACTGTATTTAGTATTTAGGTGGCAATGAGTGGTTATAAACAAAAACATAACCTCTCAATGACTAGTGATTTTTAGTCCTTTAGTTGGTGGAAATATATAAGGATTTGTACAGATTTAGTAGTATGGCGTAAACTATCGTACGTCACTCGTCCAAAATGTGTGTACCGGACTCGTATGGTAATCCCGTACTCGACTTCGTCTCGCACGGGAACGACCACACTCGTCCGGTAAACACTTATTTTCAGGACTAGTAACGTAATATACTATTACCGACACACTTAGTCAGCTGATGAAATAAACAGCTAATTGCAACGGCCTATTTTATTTTCTGAAATATAAAAATATTGTAATTTATGTTATGTTACACTCATCCTTAACTCATATTTGGGTTAAAATATGCACATAGCACATCCCCATCTTAAATAATTGATAATTGAATTGAAAATTAATTGACAACTTAACTGCTACCAAGACAATTAATTAAGTAAGCAATCCAAGCATTAGTGTAATATATAATCAAGGCTTAAGAGGACTAGATTGTTTTAACGGTGTTGGCTGCACTGTACCAATGCCGTGACGTCATTGCTACCTACCAGATTGCCCGCTGAACGGCTGTCTAACGTCATCCATGCTAAAAGTAAGTCATGTTCTATGTTGTGCGTTATACCTAAAAGTAGTGCAGTTCTTTATACATTTCATTGGCGCAGTCGGTAATTACGGATTTCTTTCTATGGATTAAAAAGTAAAAATCTTTTCCGCGAGTGTTAATGGGAGACAAAAAGGACAAAGGAAAAGGATCTACTGTGACGAAAATGTCAGGTATTGGGAAGGTGGGAGAGTTTAATCCCCATGAGGAAGCCATTGAGTCGTATTTAATGCGTCTCAAACACTATTTCAAGGCCAATAGTATTGAAGATGGTAGTAAAGTTTCAGTGTTGATTACTGTTCTGGGCCCTAAAATATTAGCAGTTTTGTCAGATATTGTGTCTCCTGATGAGGTGGATAGTAAATCTTATGAAGATTTGTCAAAAGTATTGGTCAAACATTTTTCCCCAAAGAAGTTAGTAGTGGCGGAACGATACATGTTTTATTCCAGGGTACAAAAGCCTACCGAAACTATTTCTGAATTTGTTGTAGCTATCAAGCATTTGTCTAGTACTTGTAAATTTTCTACATTTCTGAAAGATGCCCTTAGGGACAAATTGATTTCTGGAATTAATAATGAGGTGATACGACAAAAATTGTTGTCTGAAGACTTAGATTTTGAAGAAGCTCAGACTTTGGCTCTCAGGCTGGAACAAGCAGAGAAGCAAACAGGTCTTTTCAGTTCGAAACAGGATGTTAACAGTTTGAGTATGAAACGTGGTAAAAATGTTTTACCTGCTAGCTCTTTTAATAAATCCAATGTAAATGGTTATTTTAAACCAAATATGGGGTTTAATGGGAAAAATAAGTGTTACAGGTGTAATTCAGTGGAACATAAAGCTAATGATTGTCCATATTCTAGTTACAAGTGCAATGCATGCAATATGGTTGGGCATTTGTTCAAGGCTTGTAAGTCCCGAAATAAATTTAACAAGCAGAATTCAAAGTCCAAGAGTGGAAGATTTGCCCCACACAAGGTGCATCATCTTAATTTGGAAGAGGAGGACCCTAGGCCTAGGCCTAACTTGGATATAGTCAAGGAGACTCGGGACTTGTGTTTGTACAATCTAGGCCTATCTGACGGTACAGAAGCTTACAAGGTAAGACTAATGATAGAAGATGTAGTTGTAGAAATGGAAATTGATAGTGGATCAGCAGTATCCGTGTGCCCGTCTGAGGTTTTTGCGGAAAAATTTCCTAATGTGGAATTAAATCATGTAAATTTGAGTTTATTGACATACACTGGTGGGGAGGTGCCTGTGCTAGGCCAAGCTGATGTAACTGTAAAATATAAAGGTCAAGAAGTTATGTTGCCCTTATTGGTTGTGAAAATGTGTCGTAGGAACCAGCCTATGTTGTTGGGAAGGAGCTGGTTGGCCAAGTTGAAACTTGATTGGCGTTCTATTTTTTCAGTAGTATCGGAAGTAGGCCTACAGAGTAGGCCTAGTAATCAAATTAATTTGACTTTGTCTGAGCCTAACCCTGTGAGTAGTGTATCAGGACCTAGTTGTAAGGATCAACTGAGTAGGCCTAAGCTTAGCAGTACAACTGAAGTTGATGTGCAAACGTTGAAAAATAAATATGCTATGGTATTTCAAACGGGAGCTGGAGAAATTAAAGGGGTTACTGCTCACATTATTCTTAAAGACAATGTAGTTCCCAAGTTTTGTAAATATAGGCCAGTGCCTTATAGTTTGAGGGAGAAGGTTGAACAAGAGTTAGACCGAATGGTTAACGATGGAATAGCCTATAGGGTTTCCAGCTCCGAGTGGGCTACACCGTTGGTGACGGTTCCTAAACCAAATGGCGTAAGATTGTGCGCCGATTTTAAGGTAACGTTAAATCCGGTGCTGCAAACAGAGCACTATCCGCTTCCGCAACCGGAAGATATTTTTGCCTCGTTGTCAGGATGTACATACTTTTCAGTAATCGACCTCACAAATGCCTATCAGCAGTTAGCAGTAGCAGAGGAGTCACAACCTTTGTTAACCTTGACTACCCATAAAGGACTTTTTAGATTGAGACGTTTGCCGTATGGGTTGTCGTCCGCACCGGCTATTTTTCAAGCAGTCATTGATCAGATTGTATGTGGGTTACCAGGTACCGTAGCGTACTTGGACGATGTTCTAGTGGGAGGCTCAACACGTGAAGAAGCTTGTAGTAGATTAGAAAATCTGTTTCAGCGTCTGATGGATTATGGAGTTCGGGTTAACGAGAGCAAGTGTAAATTTTTGCAGCCTAAGGTTGAGTATTTAGGCTATGTGGTTTCAGCAACGGGAATCAGCCCCCAGCAAGGGATTGTGTCGGCTATTCGAAATGCCCCGGAACCGAGTAACAAGGATGAGTTAAGGGCCTACATTGGGTTGATTAATTACTATGGAAAGTTTATTTACAATTTGTCATCAAAAATCAGTTGTTTTTATGATCTTTTGAAGAAGGACGTCCCATGGAAGTGGACCAAAGAGTGTTCACGCACTTTTGAGGAAAGTAAGTCATGGGTTCTTGACTCCAATATTTTGGTGCATTATGATGTGTCTAAGCCACTTGTTTTAACGTGTGATGCTAGCCCTAGGGGAGTGTCAGCCATTCTGTCTCATATGGTCGATGGAGAAGAGCGGCCTGTAGCTTTTGCGTCCAAAACTCTTAGCCCTAGTGAGAAAAATTATTCCCAACTACACAAGGAAGCATTGGCGTTGATATTCGGTGTAAAGAAATTCCACAAGTATATTTATGGTCGTAAGAACTGTGTGTTACAGACGGATCATCAGCCGTTAGCGGCAATTTTTGGAACAAAACGTGGTGTACCTAGCCTAGCTGCGGCAAGACTTCAGCGATGGGCTCTCATTCTGGCAGCATACAATTTTGAGGTTAAATATCGAAAAGGGGTTGACTTACCCCACGCTGATGCGTTATCACGCCTACCTCTACAAGATGATGAATCGTTGGAATTGGAGGATAATTATGTTTCACATGTTGAGTCTTGTGTTCAAGTAATCAATTTCTGCAGTGTGAGTGATGATTCTCCGATTACGTCTTTGGACGTAGGAAGATTGACGGACAAAGATCCATTGTTGTCGAGGGTTCGGGACTTTGTTTTACATGGCTGGCGGGAGGTTCAAAATCCTATGTTGCTTCCATTTCAGAGGAGACGATTGGAGTTGTCAGTGGACAAGAATTGTATCTTGTGGGGAAGTCGGGTGGTGATTCCTGAGATGTTGAGGGAGAACGTTATCCAGATGCTCCATGAACAGCATCCTGGTATAACCCGGATGAAGTTGTTGGCTAGAAGCTACGTGTGGTGGCCAGGTATCGAAAAATCCATTGAGGAGACAGTGGCGTCTTGTTTTGTATGTCAAGGCACGAGAAATGCCAGTCCTAGAGTTCCATTGCATCAATGGCCGTTAGCCACGGAGAGGTGGCGCAGAGTTCACATTGATTTTGCAGAAGATCCCACGTCAAGACAGCAGATGCTCATCCTAGTCGATAGTAACTCAAAATGGATTGAGGTGTTTCTGATGAGCTCTACATCTTCCTCCAAGACTATAGAGAAGCTTCGGACTTTGTTTGCAGCCTATGGTTTGCCCGAAGAATTGGTTTCTGATAATGGTACCTCATTCACTAGTCTCGAATTCCGTGAATTCCTTAGAAAGAATGGTGTCAAATTCACCCTGTCCCCACCCTATCACCCGGCATCCAACGGAGCCGCAGAACGTTCAGTTCAGGAAGTCAAGAAGAGTCTGCTGCGCCAGGTCTTGAGTGAGAAGCGCAGTCATCCTACTTCTTTACAGCATAAGCTAGATAATTTTCTATTTTCCTATCGCAACACCCCCACTTCAGTGACAGGCGTGAGTCCGGCTGAATTGTTCCTACGCTGGAAGCCTAGAACTCACTTAACAATGTTGAAGCCAAATTTGCTTGATGAGGCCAGGAAGCAACAGGAGTTGCAAAAACGGGCAGCAGATAAACACAGAGGCTCTGATAGGTCCTTCAGTGAAGGCCAGCATGTGTTAGTAAAGACGGTGAGGCAGGAAAAAATTTCTTGGGTTCCCGGCCAAATTGTGGAGTGTAGAAGTCCAGTAACTTATCTTGTGAGGGTCCTGAACCGCACCAGGTTTTGTCACGCTGATCATCTAAGACCAAGTCAGGTGGAGGAAGAGGAAATTTTGGTTAGAAGAGAGGAAGTGCCAGATCCACCGGAATCAGTGACCGTCAGCGTGTCGCCGGAGAGAGTATCTCCAAGTCGGCAGAGTTTGCCGTCATCGCCAAGGGCCAGAAGTCCACCGTCACCCCAAGGACGGAAGTCGATGGAAGAGGGGCAGCGTCCAGAGGTGCAGTGCAGTCCAACTCCTGTGGTTAGAAGATCGCAGCGGACTGTGCGCAAACCAGCTAAACTGGACTTGTAAGTGTGTATACACACGATTCAAAAAGAAGAATTTTTAGTTGGTTATTAAAAAAAATATATATAAAAAAAAGAAGAAAAAAAAATGGAAGTTAAAAAATTGTTTGGTTTTAAAGAACGTTTTATGTTGAATTAAAGTTTTATAAGAAGTTTTAAGTTGTGGGCCAACTATTTTATAAGGGTTGGCGAGTGTAATATATAATCAAGGCTTAAGAGGACTAGATTGTTTTAACGGTGTTGGCTGCACTGTACCAATGCCGTGACGTCATTGCTACCTACCAGATTGCCCGCTGAACGGCTGTCTAACGTCATCCATGCTAAAAGTAAGTCATGTTCTATGTTGTGCGTTATACCTAAAAGTAGTGCAGTTCTTTATACATTTCAATTAGTTAACCTATAAATAAAACACATTTATTTTACTAAGCCAGCTTTATTAACATTTGCCAGAATATCTCAGTGGGTGTATGTACAAAAATAACAACAAAGCAAGTTAACAACGAACTTAAGCTTTTATCACATAATTTTCTGGGTTTCAAGTAACATAGATATATTTGACTGGTTGACAATAATTGCCGACTTATCGCTAATAGTCACTATTTATTGGTTAAATTAATGTATTTCACCACGTTTTGTATCTGTGGAATGATCTTCTACATTGTCTACAACCTTTTTACCTATTCTCTCTGGCCTGACGTCATTTAAAGCATTCCGTACTTGGTTCAGTAGCTCGTCTTCCCCTTCAAAAGTTTGCTTGGAACCTGAAACAAACCATTGTTGGATAACACTCTAGTCAGGCACTTGTTTTAAATTTCACACAAGCCCAATTTTTTTTTAAGTTTTTTATAAGGACACACTAGGGATAGTTAAGCCCAAATATTAATGATCTATGGGTCCAGAATGTGAAAGTTGTTTCAGTTTTAATTGCTTTTATTTAGACCAGCAGGTTCTTCAATTACTCAGTCTAATGATTTAGTCCTGCTGGGTTTAGTTTTAAACTATAAAATAGCTATAAACTTTTCTTAACCTTAAGATCCAACCATAAAAAGTGCTGTTTATTATTGAACGCCATATACCTGTTTCACTAAATAAACAAAGGTTATGTGTGGTCTCATGATAAAAGAGGCTTTAGGAAGTTCACCTTTAGTCCGTTTATCAAGGTAATGTTCGACTCCAGCAAGTACGTTGGCGTGGGGGATATTGGTATGTAGGGATGTAACGTCTATTGTAGCTAGGGTGGAGTTAGGTGTGAACTTGTTGAGAAGTCCCTAATATAGATGAAATATTAAGTTTTACTGTTTTGTGTTATGTGTTTTGTGTGTGTTACCAAAACTAATCTGGACTCTATCTACCAGGTAAACTAGCTGATCCTATCCTTGTATATAATAATCCCTAACTTATTGAATATAATTTGTAAAGTAATCCGGAAGGCAACAGACAAAATGAAGGCCTAAAGAAGTTTTCATTGAAAGGAGATTGTTATTTTATCTATTAATTAAACTATTTTAATGAAATAATCATTTTTAAACAAGTTAGGCCTAGTGTTTATAATCCAAATTCAAAACATAACATAAAAATCAACAACTAGAGATCAGCTGGTTATATCAAGGCCAAGTTCTCTCTCCACTTTCTTTTTTCCTTCCAATATACTTATTTATTTTTTATTGAGTTTAGAGTGATAAATAAATAAATAAATAAAAATGCCTTTATTTGCGAGCGTCTTTCAGTACAAGAACTGTTTTACAAAGTGACTCTTGTCAATATAACTAACTTAAAAATATACAAAAATTATAATACAAAACACTGTGTATGACAAAACAAAATTATAATCTATATACAATATTTTACATCTTTTTCACTTTTCTTTTGAAAGCCAGGACGGAAAGCTTCTTTGGAAAGCTTCTTTTTTAAGTGTTTAAAAATTTAGCTTAACTTAGAAAATACTTAATTTAAGACAACTCAAAACATTAAAACGATGTTTGTATTGCAATTTGAGTTGCAATAATAAAGTTGTAACATTTTAATATACACTACTGTTGCAACAATATCTTAAAAACATTAATTAAATGATAAGATACCAAGAAGGGACAGATTGTAGTGAACTAATACAAACTCAAAACTCATAAACTAATACAACTATAGTTAATTGAATAGTGGTACATTAGTGAAAGACCCTGAAAAATGCTACAATAGTCAGGGTTATGGCCGACTGGAGCATCAAAAAATCCCGTCAAATCCATCCTTCATTGGGGATTTCCATGACTTCCATTACTTTTTAGTGAATTTCCATATAGGGAATAAGCTATTACCGTGGTTCTCATGGTAAGACCTGGACCCGGGACCGATTTGCTTTTTCGTTTTGAGGTCCCTAGAGGCCAAAAACACCAACCGTTCAAATTGATATATGTATATATATATGTGTGTGTGTGTGTCCGTTAGCACAATATCGATAACTGGAGCAAAAATTATCTGATTTTGATGAAATTTTGTGTAAACATGTAAGTCTACATTTATTCTAATGAGTTCACGAACCAGCATGATCAGACCATGGGAACAGGGGTTTATGCGGGGTTTTATGGGGTAAAAATTGGTTTTTCTCATTTTTGACCCTAAAAACATAAAATTTAGCAATTTCTTTCCAAACCATATTGTAGAGCTTAAAAACAAATAATTTAGTATGTTGAAGCGTTTTATGCGCCTAATGGTTACGGAGAAAATTTTAAAAAAAATGTAAATTTAAAACATCCATTTTATTCTTAAAGAATAAGTAAACTGTTGTTGTGTGCTTGTTTATGAGCATATTTTGATAAAATTTGGAAAATGCATTTATTTCGTACCTAACTATTGACATAATTTTTTTTTTTACCCTTCCTGTTTCAAACTAGAGGTACTCGTTAAACTAATGCTATTTAAATAGGGAATAAATGTGATATTTTATTAGGAGAAATTTTAGTGTGAAATGTGAATCCAATTAGGCAAATGGAAATTTGCTTAGTCTGCAGGTTTGCTGTGGCGGGGGTATTGCCTATTTCCATGACTTTCCATGACTATCTCTGACTTTCCAGAATGTGGACACTCTGAATTTAAATCACATTCTCTTTATTTGGCAAATGTAATTTCACTGAAGGACTAGCGAGAGTGAGTCAGTCATCAGGTGGATGAAGGTGATTGGTGAGACAAGAGTCTATTAGAGAGGGAAGGTTTACGGACGTGTCTGCGCCGTCAGATTAACAACCTTTCCTGTGTAAATTGCTCCTCAGTTTTTCTTTCGGTTTATACTCTAGCAGCAAAGTTACTAGGTACTTAAACAAGTCTTTGAATGATTTGGAATAGTAAGAGTGAAAATTATTTAACCGGAATCTTAACTATCAACCATAATTACTTTTTTAATTTTTCTGAACATTTTACATTGTCCTGCATTTAAAAAGAGGTTAAACATTTTTGTATAAATTCATGAGATATTATATTTTTTAAGTACTTCAGGTGTTAAATTTTTTTTTAGGCAGGAGATAGCAGATTTTCATACACAACATAAGACAATTTGTTTTCATGTAGACCTACTTAACAATAATTTACTTCTGTTAAACTTTCATGAACTTGATAGGAGATATTAGATTTTTATACATCGTGTTCTTTATATTTTTGTTTACTTGAGGAAATATTACATTTTATATTATATTTTCAAAGACAATAGAGCGTTGATTATTTTTCATGATTTTTATGGGGGATATTAACCCTCCGAGGGTCCATAGTTTTGGCCTTAATGTTTGCCTATTTTTTGCACATTTGCAAGGTTTTATTAAAACAGATCTGAGAAGCTTAAAAACAATGTTAATTATACTGTTCTATATACCATTTTGTTTGGAAAATCATGGGCTTCAATATTATACATAAAACATAAGGAACATTTGTTACAAATAAATCTTTTAGGTAAAAAAAAAAATTTTTTGGAAGATTTTCAAAAAAAAAAATAAGTTCGCGCTCAATGAAGTTGTATAAATTATAGGCCTATAAATATTTGAAAATAGCCACTTTGTTCTAAATTTTATGAGAATTACAAATATATAATCATATAAGGAAGTACAGTAGAACTCCAATTATCCGAACTCCAATTAACCGAATCTCCAATTATCCGAATCGCTTATTTCAACAATTTTGAAAACGTACAGCTACAGTAATAAGTTTTGCAAAATATCAAAGAATTGTTATTAAACACATTTAGCCAATTTTGGACTTTGATGGAACACTATTGACTTAATAACATGTATAGAACACTTGTACTATGAGCATTGTAAACTGTAAAAATGTTCTGATTTAAATTATTATTATTTAAAAGTTCACTTAGTACCGTAAATGAGGATTTTTCTTTAAAATTCCTGGAATTCCGGTAAAAATCCGATTATCCGAATTTTTGATTATCCGAATGGGGTCTGGTCCCTATTGATTCGGATAATCGGAGTTCTACTGTAGATCTGCAAATAAATAAGTTATGGGCAAAAAACAGATTTCGGTACATAGCGTTTAGCTAAGAATGCATAGCCTAACCATAGCTAGGAATCTGGCTGATAATTTACATCAATATCACTACCTACTTCTTCAGGATCATCAACCAGCCCTTCAAAATCACTTGAATCTTCTTATAATGCACCACGTATATCACTACTTTTGATTTTTAACTCTAAAACAATGATAAACATAATAAAACACATCAGTCATCGGTCCGAGGTTAACTAACCTGTTTAGAAATATGCACGTCAGCTGTCTGCTACAATTACGATCGGCTCGGAGAACATACAGCGCTTAGAGACAGACCTTTAGAAAGCTTAGAATCTAACGAAAAGAACGATACCTAACTCGATCCAGTTCAATCCGATTTTGTCAGTCATAGAGCCTTTGCTGTAAACAGTGTTTGTGAGTGGAAAAATCAACACAAAACACTACACAAAGTGTGTTATGTGTCGATTTTTCGACACCTAACACTCGGAGGGTTAAATTTTTATACCTCATGTTTTTCATACTTTTGTTTACTTGAGGAAATCTTCCATTTTCTTTATATTTTCAAAGACAGTAAAGGTAGAGCATTGATTATCCAATTTATGGTTATCATAAATAGTGGTCAACCAAAAGCAGGAAAAAACAAAATTTTAATTACATTGTGCGCGAACCACAAGTTCCACGAGGGAATACTGCAAAGATATTGCCTCATATGAACAAAATCTTGTCCGATATAACCGTGCGCTATTTTCACTCAGTTTTCCTAAGGTTTTTGTCAATGACAGTTTGTACGCTGTTCTGCTGTGATGTTTGATTCTAACTATGTCCTCTAAAAGTAAACGCACAGTGCTTAGTGTGTTGTGCCTTTAATATACTATATTAAACCCCTTTTGTATTTCACATCCAATAACCCATAACATAAAGTAAACATAAAATAATAATACATTAAATCAGAATCAGGTGATAACTAAATAAACACACTATTAATATAACAAATGCAGACTTCAGGACATAGTGTTTCTGAGAAGCCCAAGATACTGAGGCAGTTAAAATTAGTGTTTGTAATCAACAGTGGAAATGAGAGTTTTCATGGAAAGCTATCCAAGAAATTGGTATCCAAACACCCCAAATCCCCAATTGTTTCATTAGGATAATCTACTGTATACTGTATACTGTGTGTAGGCCTACTATATCATTTCCTGTGTAAGCCTGATTTAGCAGGTATTATTATTTATTAGAATTCAGAAAACATATCCTTTTAATGAAA